GACCTCGCTGGCGCCCGCGAGGCGCTGCGGAGGGTCCGCGACGGGCCCAGGGTCAGAGGTAGGCCCCGGGGGACGGAAGGGGCGCAGGGGGCGCAAGGGGCGGGTCCCGGGGGCGCGGGCCGGTCAGCCGAGGCTCTGTGTCCGCAGCGGTGATCATGGTGATGCATTCGGTGCTGCTGGGCGGCGAGGAGCAGCGCGTCTTGCTGGAGGCCGCCGAGGAGCTGGGCCTGGCCGACGGCGCCTGGGCCTTCCTGCCCTTCGACACGCTCCACTACGCCTTGGCCCCGGGCCCCGGGGCCTTGGCCGCCCTAGCCAACAGCTCCCGGCTCCGTCGGGCCCACGATGCGGTGCTGACCCTCACGCGCCACTGCTCCCCCGGGGGCAGCGTGCTGGACCACCTGCGCCGGGCCCAAGAGACCCAGGAGCTGCCCCCAGACCTCAACCCACAGCAGGTAGAGAGGGCAGGGAGGAGGAGAGGAGAGGGTGGGGGTGGCCAGGGACAGAGGGCGGGGAGATTGGGGCCTGGTGGGAGAGAGGGAAATGGAGGTAGTCTATAGAGAAGAGTAAAGACACGTGGAAGAGAAAGGAATGAGGGATGAAGGACTCATGGGTGCCAAGGAAGATGGAGTCAATTGGGAGAGAATTTCGTGCAGCTCTAACTGCTCTGGAATTTTCTGGGTAAAGACTCTGGCTTGTCTCGGGGCAACTGAGTGTCTCAGGGTGCCCCCCAGAGAAGAAGCAATGCCACCTCTCAAGCCCAGTTCCAAGGAGGCAATGCTGAGGGACCCTTGAGTTGCCACGGCTCAAAGCAAACCCATTCTGGACACCACAGCAGCAGGTAGCCCATAACAAGCACCAGGTGTCCCCAGAGGAGATCTCTGGGGGCTGCCACTGCTGAACAAGCTAGGCTGCTGACTGAAAGGTGGAGGTAGGAGTTCCCCCAGAGGCAGCTTGCTCTGTCACTTTTACCTCCTAAAGATCATTGGAACCCATCCACTCTCCCCGTCCTCACTGCCTCTGCATCGGTGTGGACCACAGCACCTCTGGTCCAGATCCAGCAACAAATAGTGACCCCGGGCGTCTCTGCTCAAATCCCACCTACCCCATGTCTTTCTCCACCCCCAAACCCAGTGAGCTTCTAAAATAGCAACGTGGCCACCGTCCTGTCCCTCTGTTCAAAGCTACCCCAGCCAATAGCTTCTCTCTCAAGGTCTCCGGTGTCCTCTTCTCCCTTTGATCTTTCCTGAACTCCAGGCTTCCGCCAGATGGAATGGCCTTGAGTTGCTTTTCTTTTGTCTCTGAGCTGGTGGGTGGGTTATTTCCTTTTTCCTGCCCTAGCCCTCTCTGACCTCCTGGTTAATTTGGTCTCATCCCTTGGGTCCTGCCTGATGACCACTTCCTGTGGAAGCCCCTGCACGCTTCCTCCTCCCCCAGACTGAGTTGGGACCCCTTTTGTGTCTCTTAGCTCACTGATTTTGCCCTCCCAAATTCCCTCGGCATTGCTGCCTCTCTCCTTCACGAGACTGATGCACATCCTCCTTCAAATAAGCCAGGCTTTCTGATGGTTTGCTCAGCACATAGATTGAAGACAGGGACTCAGTCTTTTTTGGTAAGTTTCATCGGCATATATTTCACAAGTCATGCAATCCAGTAGTTCACCCATGTTAAGAAGAATTGTACGATCATCACCACAATCCATTTCAGAACATCGCCTCCCTTCTTTTCCTCAGCGTTATTCGCTCCTCCTTTCCCCCATGTCTCGTCTCTCTGATGCTCTGGTATCTCTTTTTGTGGTCAGGTGCCACAAAGTAGGTTCTGACTCACAGCAACCCGGTGCACAGCAGCCTGAAGCACCGTCTGATCCTACACCATCCTCGCAAAAATGTTCTCATATTTGAGCCCCTGTGGCAGCCACTTGTCAGGGGCCTTCCTCCTTCTTGCTGCCCCTCTGCTTTACAAAGCGGGATGTCCTTCTCCAGGGACCGGTCTCTCTTGACAACGCGTCCAAAGCCCGTGAGACCAAGTCTTGCCACCCTTGCCTCTAAGGAGCATCCTGGCTGTACTTCTTCCAGGACAGACAGGGTTTTTTTGGACAGCTCACGGTACTTTCAATTTCTTCATCACCTCCGTAGCTCAAAGGCAGCGATCTTTTCCTGCCTCCCTTACTCAGGGTCCATCTTTCACATGCATGCGAGGCAGTTAAAAATACCATCGCTTGAGTCAAGCACTTAGTCCTCAAAGTAACATCTTTTCTTTTCTTTTTAATCATTTCATTAGGGGCTCATACAACTCTTATCACAATCCATACATACATCAATTGTGTAAAGCCCATGTGAACATTCATTGCCCTCATCATTCTCAAAACATTTGCTCTCCACTTAAGCCCCCGGCATCAGGTCCTCATTTTCCCCCTCCCTCCCCGTTCCCCCCTCCCTCATGCACCCTTGATAATTTATAAATTATTATTTTGTCATATCTTA